ATTAAAAATGTTTTATTTTATCAGATTTCAACAAACTGAACGAGAGAACGAGTATCGAAGGGATTTCCTCGGTAGCCCAAATTTAAGCAGGCCACCAATACTACTCAATTATCACTCATAATCCTTCCTATACACCAATATTATCGCACTTTAGTATTTCTAATCGCTGTCAAACTTTAACACACATACGCACAAGAAAACTGATTGTCACTGTCAATGGCGATTCATATATATATAAGTGGTGTTTTTCCCCTCTGAAACTGAAACGTCAAAGTATCATCCACTAGACGATTGAGCTTTAGCATTTGAAACGAAACGTGCTGGGTTCCAATCCCAATGGGGGGGGGGAATGATAGCTGACGAAATGCGCGTCTTCATTCCCATTGCTAGCTTCCATTTACCGCAAAAGTATCTTCAGGCGTCAGTTTGTAAGGAGTTTATTTTTTTTCAAGTTTGACAATGAGTTGATATCAGTTAGAGAATCAGTGAAAACCAGTACTGGAGTACCGGATAACTGTTTCGTCCTAGTCTGGGACTCTTCAGTAGTACGCACCCCTAATACCATCCACGGGGGTGTCAAATATAAGACCTTCAAGTTATAGAACAAGCTGGTTGACCATTCAGTCATTGATTTTCACTTGTGACCTACTCAGACTGAAGTTGCCTGAAGTTATGACTAGTAGGGTCTAACAGGTCAGATGTGAGAACAGATACTCCCTGATGACACTGGCTGTCCGTTGTGCTGTGTATATCATGAGTTGGTAGAAGATAGAATTGACGGACGATTAGAATTCGTTTCAGTGGCTGCTTGGTCAGTGAGCTTACCTTGTCACCCGAAGGTCTAGGGTTCAACCGATGGTAGGATCACGGATGTGTACCTCTGAAGAGTCTCAAACGAGATCGAAACGGCTTTTTAGTACTCCAACTGATGTATCAGTCCGTTATCAAACTTGAAAAATTTATCTACTTCTATGCACACTGACACACGCAATTTACTGAGAAGAACTCAAGAAAAGCCGCCCATACTTAGCGTCAAGAAAAAACTACTCTACATGAACCTTCAATTCAATGGAGATTTATCTGCGGAAACACTAAAAAATCGACTGTCGCGCTCACTTAAGAAGACCTTCTTCGCAGCTGAACTATGACTAACCTTCTCCACAAAACCTATGATTCATGTGAACGTGAAGGATAAGCTACCACTGCTGGCCTCATCAATGTGCATTTATCAATTCACCTGCTCGTGTGGAGCCAGGTATGTCGGCCGTACCCAGCGCTCGCTTTCCAAACGTATCACCGAGCACTTACCAACATGGTTTTACAAAGGAGAAAATCGATGCCCCCGCAGTTCCATCTTAGAACATCTGATAGAATCCGGACACCAAGCTACACCGCAAACAAACTTCAAAGTCGTCTACAGAGTAAGAAGTAGTCTCCCTAAAGATGTACGAATCAGACTTCTTCAAACTGCAGAAGCAATGGCGATTCACTTGCTAAGTCCTGAACTCTGCATACAGAAGAAGTTCGTTCAATCACTACACTTGCAATGGACGTAATCTATCTCATTAGCCGACAAGTAAACTCTACCTAATCTTTTTTTCTGTCTCTTCATTAGTATTATTTTGTCTTCTCAATTGTAACATTTTACATTTTCAACTTTTTTGTTCTCTACCCCCACTCGATTTAATTTCTACACCTCACTACCACTGTTACTGACTTGAACAACGCTCAATTTCTAGTCAATTCTATTACGTCATCTAACTTACTAACTCAATCTTACTTTAGTTGCTGTCTGATTAACTTTATTAGATCATTCTTGTATCAACTAATCAATTATCTAAACTTGACAAACCTCATGTACACACACACACACACAAATATTTATATATAAATGCGATTGTACAGCTATGTGAATGAATTCACCGAAAAGAGTCTCTTCGCTGAATGTCTTCTCTTTTTCATAATTAAAAATAAGTCCATATTTTCTAGCTGCACTTATAAATCAATATATTTTAAGGTATTCAAATGTATAAAATGTGAAAAACGATAAAAAAAATTACAAATTAGCGGTTTGTTTAAACTACTGATCTACCTACATTTCTATCTTAACACATAATGCATCTACTCTGCTCCATTTCTGTTTTTTATTCGGCCAACTGTGTCTCCCCTGGAGTGGGATATGAATTTGTTTAAATTTTTAACTGGTTTCCAACGTTACTGTTGTCCGCAATTCAATACAAAATATGTAAAGGAAATTGTCGTGAGGGATTGAATGTTGTTTCAGATAGACTTATGATGCTGCATCTTACGAGATATAATTCCGGCGAATTAGTTTGGGAATTGTGTTTTGTGTTAGAAACTGAGTCTGGCAACAGGGACCAACAGTCGCCATCATCGGGAGTCACTTTTTTCACTTTACTTGCTGGCAACAGTTAAAAGAATAGACACCACAGTCAGGTGGCCTTGAACCAACCAATCACATTGCTAAAAACTGTAAATGAATACTTTTAATAATCTTCATTTCATTCTGATTCAAAGTTAAGCTTAGGGTGAAACCTGCGACGAAGATTACGAAAAGCATCAATTTATGATGCTAAGCGATCTGATTGGTTGCTTCAAGGTCATCTGACCATCGTGACTATTCTTTTCTGTTGCCGCAACATCGTTACAACTACAGGTGGCACGGATGGAGGTGTCAAATGAGGCCAGGATCTGCTAAGAAAGCATGACAGACCTTTATTATTCTGACATTAGTGTGATAATCTATGTTACGCAATCAGAGCAAGGAACAAGATTAGGATATGGAACACTAATGTCAGGTCTGTCATTACTTAGATATGCTTCACGGACTTGGCGCATCTCGTAAAGCATTTCCAACAGTCTGGTACAAGCTGTCTTAGTAGGATGGCTGGCCTGAAAGGTATAGTGATAAGGAACTCTGGTAAGCGCTAAAATCAAATTCAAAATTCACACACTTCGAGGTAGAATCTCACGCACATAATGTGTGATTTGCTTGATGCCATGAATTGCAGTAAAAGAGGCATGTATAACTGTATTAAACTATATACTAGATGGTTGGAGGCAATCAGCAGGAAGCCATACCTGACCTACCTAGGTTTCGTGTTAGTTGGCGCTCTTCGGTCAGCAGAGCATATCTGCATTCTTGAAGGAACCCATTTCCCTTCTGAGATTCGAACCCATGTAATCCAGTGCTGCAGTCCAGTCAAAGTATCCAATACGCTCTACAGTAGATCGATAGCTAGCCCGAAGAGCTCAGTGGTAACATGTTCTCTGACTGCTAGCGGCATTGGGTGAGAGGGGTTGAGATCTTAGAAGGGATATGAATTGTTCCTTCAAGGTAGTTGCAGATACGCTTTGCCGACTGGTGAGTGCCAACTAGCACGGAACCTAGGTAGGTCAGATAGGGCTTCCTGTGGCCGACTGCCTCCAACCATCGAATATCATCAAATCAATGTGCATCGTGATGGCGAGTCACCTGCAATGGTGGCCACATTGCAAACCTGACTGATAGAATTCAGTCGGCACCAAAGGAAGAACTAGACACATCACACTAGTGTCGAATGACAACTATATACTACTGACTGAATGAGATGAGTAGTTGTATGATCCCACTGAAACCAATTAGTAGTGACTGTCGACCAGATCAAAGTAAAACAAAAAACCAGACCGCCGTTTCTCTGATTTGGGGAAAATCTGATCAATCGATGGCTTGAAATGATCCAGCTGTCTGAGCTGAGTTCTACCGTCTGCACCCCCCACCCCGACTGATGAGCTCAGCCTCAAACTATCGAAACGGTCATCCAGTGTTTAGATCACTTCAATTGATCCAGCTGCCTAGAATGCACTACTGGTTGTTGTGAGTCGTATACAACTAACTACTCACCTTTATCGGTCAGTAGTATATAGAACCGACAAGGAACCTGCCACCCAACAAATATGCAGAAGAAAGTGGACACAAGTTGGACATACACGCTGAACACACCATTGACTGAACACACGCCGACTAGGTTGTCTAGCAGAACCAGAATAGGAAAAGACGTGTTCGACTTGAGTCCAAGTAATGTCATGGAGGAGTTCCTGTGAAGAGGGGCAAGAAGTCAGAGTTACTTACTGACAATCGTGAAACCAGCCAGCTAAATGACGACAGTAAAGAACTGAACGAAGTGAAGGTATGCTTCACCTCTCAATGTAATACACATTTTGGTATGCTTTCTTTTTATTTTCTAGTCTTCAATACAACATAACACAGAACAGTAAAGCAAAGCACACATATATATGGCATTATTGACAAATTGTGCATATTTATTGATTAAATAATCAGAATAACAATTACAGACATATATATAAATATATGCATATTAATAACCAATATCAACCAATAAGAATTAAGCTAGTAAAATTCAATCGTCTAATGCTGTATTTTGATTGGTTAATAAAAGATATATTTGTTTGTCAATACACAGTATTGTGTATACACACGTGCGTGTGTTGCATGTAAACTAATGTATGCCTATGCGTGTGTGCGCCTCAATGAATCAATGAAGTAGTTAGCGGTAATTACAAAATGTTGATAATATAGTCAGTCAGTCAGTCAGTTAGTCAATCAGCATTAAAAATGTGCCTATTACTTATGTACCATTTTACTTGCACAACAAAAATATGCAAAGAATAAAAGAGTTTTTAAGGAAGAATTTGTAACCTTAATCAGGATAATCAAAATAATAATTATTATAAGAAGAAAAAGAAGAATAGAATTTAACTTTGCCTTTTTCATTCAATATTGTACACAGTAAAGAATTATCTATTATATATATAAATGTACATATTTGTCAGAAGCAATAAATATCTACGTTTTGTGGAAGTTTAAACATAATATATTCTGAATGAAAAGTTTACAATTTAACAAATCAATAATTACCTGATAAGATCAATAATAATAATAATATTGATAGTAATAACAATATTTCATGACATCCACATCAGCATCCGCCTATCATATTCCTGTGAATAATGAACGCCCCAATCGAATAATGAATTCATCAATACGGAATACTCCTGCACGTATGATCATGTCTGCTGATACAACGACGACGCCACTACCATCGAACAATAGTAATAATAACTTAGTGACAACAGGGATGAATGATAGTAGTATACGTGTTGGAACACCAGGAAGTAGCGGTTATGGGAGTGGAAATGAACTGACAACTGGTAACAGTACACAACCAACCTCTCCGATTGGATCAACTCCAAGAATATTTGGTAATTGTGCTGAATGCAGTCTAAGAATTGTTAATTTGACGGATGCATGTTATGCTATGGGATATTTATATCATAATTCATGTTTTGTCTGCTGTTGTTGCAGTAAGTGTTTATAGTATTTCTTAAATTCATAATTTTTAATTGATTTATTGATTGATTGATTGAAGATGGCCATACATGTTGTGTGTATTTTGACAGTCAAAACTACTTTATGTCCCTAATATCCCCCGGTTGTGGCAGATATATTCATGGATAGGTGGGAAAATGTGGCGATTGAAACGGTAAGCTCCATCCCTAGAGTATGGTGGAGGTATGTAGATGACACATTCACTGTACTTAGAACACAGGACTATAGATAGATTTCTGGAAAACATTAACTCAAAGGTGGAGGCAATTCAATTCAATTCAATTATGAATTGGAAAGTCAGGAAGGGAAGATTTCAATGTTAGATTGTGGCATAAAAAGGAAAGAAGATGGGAAGTTAAACACACTAGTGTGTTTACAGGAAACTCATACATTCAAACAGGTATTTGGACTTCCGACCATCCCACCCAATGTCAGAAAAATTGGATTGGTGAAGTGTTCAAGTAGTAAGGCACATAAACTAAGCAGTACCGAGAAAAATCTGAGACAAGAAGTAAGATGGATAATAGGAGCTTTGAAACTTAATAATTACCCTTATTATTATTATTCCCTTGGGTTCCTAGTGGAACATAGGGCTTCAACTGCACGTCTCCATTTGCTTCTGTCTTCAGCTGTACTCTTCACCTGCATCCATGTTAGTCCCTACTGTTTCAACTCCTCTTCACACGATCTCCTCCATGTCAAGTTTGGATGTCCCACTCGCCGCTTCCCTTTCGGGTTCCACTCGAGCATTGGCCTGACGCGCGATGTCACCCAACGGCCTCCTCAGCCAGTGAGTGTCCAATCCATCTCCACTTTCTCCTGCATATTTGTTGAGTGATTGGTTCTTGTTTTGTTTGTTTGTTCCCATAGTTTCTTGTTGATTCTTGTTCTTTCCGGCCATCTGATCTTCAGTATAGAACGAAGACAGTTAGTTGTTGATAAAGGTCTGCAACAGGCTGTTGGAAATATTCTTTGTGCCCCGCTGCCAAGTTTCTGATCCATCCGTATAGAAGAACTGACTGACTTGACGTTTGTATTGAAAATCCGAATTTTGTTGTTGATGCTGAGTTGAGTGACGAAGATTTCCAGATTGGTTTCAGGTTGATGAATGTGTTTCTCGCCCTCCCGATTCTCGATTTGACATCCTCGTCCGTTCCTCCTGTAGTTGAGACACATAATTACCCTGGTTAATCAATAATTATAGTGACGATATGCAGGACGAACATGCACAGAATGATGACAACACCAACAACAAGAAAATTTAAATCCTCTGTAGTACTTCCCTACAGAGAAGGAAACTCGGGAACCTTCTGTAGGATTCTTAACAATGCAGGGGGGAATAAAAGTGACATTCAAGCTGCCCACAAACTCAATTAGAAACAAGCTTTGTCGCTCAAAGTACCAAGTAGAGCCCATTAAATAAGACAATTTAGTTTATCTAATACCCTGCTGGAATGATTGTCAGGTCAAATACATAGGTCAAACTAGTAGAACGGGGTCAGTCAGACTAGCAGAGCACAAAAACCTAACAACATTAGGACAAATTCACCGTAATAAGATAAGAAATCTACAGAATAGTTCAGCTATAGCAAGGACTACATGCAGTTACACACAACACAACCATACAACAGGATGGAATAAAATGACAGTTTTAAAATCTTATGTGACAGGGTGGAGGAAGAGATCGATAAGGGAAGCTTTATTTACCGGATCTACTGAGAATACGTGCTACAGAAATGATTCAACACTTGCACTGAACATCTAGAAAATTCCTCTACCCCTAAGACAAACAGGGAGGAATAAAAAAAGCTATAAAACCAAATTTTCGAAGTGGTGTGGTTATAACTGATGATATGATTATGAACAATAATCACGTGTGTTCAAAACTTAGTCACCTAGTAAATGTGATACTGTTTCACTGTGTGTGATACATCGAATAAACAGATCGATATGGAATGACATACTGCCACAATGCTCAGGTTGTACACCTATATGAGCTTATGCTCTTGGACTCGGAGTCACAATTTATTCTACACTTGGTGTTGCTATTGTGTTTCTCGATCTGCAAGTTATGAAATGAAATAACTGTGTGTCAGTTTGTGTGTGCGTGTACATGTGCGTGTTTGATATCTGTTCCAAATGGTTTTAGTATTGCAGCCGTTATTTCAGAAATAATCTTGGTATATATATATATATATATATATATATATATATATATATATATATATATGGTAGGATGAATTTTGCTTGTGATTTCTGAGATTAGTTTCATGTTACATAGTCGCATCACCATAATAACTCAGTATTAACATTTATAACTGCTGCACGGAGTAACACCGGTTTGATTCGACTTGAGGATACTTCTATTTATCAGTATTAATCTCACTGGGTTCCGAGTGGAAAATACGGCTTCAATAACACATGTCCATTTTGTCCTGTAGTCTTCTCTGCAGTCCTCTTTATTAGCTGCCTGACTTCACGACTGACAATAGTCTCTCGTCTCCTCCTGCTCACACAATCTCCTCCTTGTCACCATAGCACCGGCTCCTAACTCATCGTTTCCCACACAGGTTCCCGCCTGATGCGAAATGTCCGCCAGCGGTCCCCTCAGCGTATGTCCAGTCCATCTCCACTTTCTTAGGACTATTTGTTGACCGCCAGATTCTTGATTGATTCGTTCCCAGAGTTTGTTGATGCTAATTTTTTCTGACAGTGTATCTGATCTTCAGTGCGGAACCAGCGAAACGGGAAGAGGTTGAAAAACGTCTGCAGTAGCATGTTTGAATTGCCTTCTGAGGTGCTGATGCCAAGTTTCTGACCAATATAGAAGAACTGACCGACTTAACAGGGATGCGGAAACTTTGAATGTTACTGGTCATGCAAAGTGTAACATTTTTTTGAAGTGATTTCTGAGCTGTGAATGTCTATCTTGCCTTTCCGGTTCCGGTTTTGACATCCTTATCTGTGCTGACTGGCAGTAGTTGAAACGATGCTGTCTAGATAAGTGAAGGAAGTAAACTCTGTCAAATCTTTCCCGTTGATAGTGATTGGTTGTCTCAGTGACCTCCGTCTTCTCTACGTTCACTTGAAGTCCTATCTCCACTGTCTGCCTCTTCTGCCAACTTGATGGTTTTCGTCCATAGGTCTTTGGATGTGTGTGACATTAGAAATAATTCATTCAGGCGAGAAATCCAGATCTTCTACAGTCTTTTTATCCGTCCAATGTAGTCCTGTCTTCCCGCTCCCCACAGTCTTTCGTATAGTCCAGTCCACTATAATCAGGAATATCATTATTTGTGATAGCGTGTATCCGTCTCTTACTCCTGTATTTACTTCAAAAGCGTCACGGAGTTTTCCGTCGAAGATCATTTGACTTGTGGGGCTGTCATATGGCCAGCTATTGAATGAGGTTGATAAATATTTGCGGCACTGTACTCCATAGTGTTGAAGTAGTTTCCAAATTACTTCGCGATCAGGGCTGTCGAAGGCTTTTTCAAAGTTGACGAAATTGAAGTAGAGGTTTCACTGCCATTCTGTGCTTTGTTCCATCATGATGATGCGTAGAGTTACAGTTTGATCAGCACATCATTTGACTTTCTATCTTGTTTTGGGCGGAGTTTCGCATCCAGTGCATCTTTTAGCCTCTCTTGGTGTGGATTCGACCATCATTCCTCACCAGTTCTCTCAGAGGCCTAAATCACGCTTCTTCGGCGTGTCTAGTTAAGAATGACGGAATGATTACGTCTTGTGTAGGGTGTTTATCTAGGCAGAGAGAGTTAACACATGCATTGATATCAGGAGATATATGTCGCGGCTTTTGATTACACCTACTTTCCCCTTTTTTAATAGAATAAGGACAGTAATAAACACTCCTCAGTGCTATTCAACGAATTGTTTTCATGCACACATAAATTCACTGACACAAAACTTGTTTTTATAATCCCGACACTTGAAAAAAAAAACACAAACGGTTTCAACTTTCTGATAAGTTAAAAGTTTAATAGAACCAGAAAAATAAAAGACTGAGTTCAGTATGAACAAAGAATATTCCCTTTTCGACATCGTTTCTTTCTATCATCAGGGGAATATCAAGAAAAATAAACAATAATTTCTTAAACCAGTCGATGTGGTAAATGTGAAGTTAGGAAGTTGATGACGCGGAATGTAGCACACACGTTTCACCACCTCGTTGACGAAGTATTCCACAGTCTTTACTTTGTATATACGTACTTAAGTAGGCTGTTGCCTCATCTCAAGTCCAGATAAGTAAACTAACCTTCGATAGCTTACGTCGACATCCTTCAGTTACAGACTCATTCCCAGATAAGGTCGTATGTGTTTCGGCACAAATAGCTAACTCAATATAGATATGCATCTGATATCGACTGGTATTATTTCTTATGATGCCTGAGACTAATCTAGCTGCCAGACTATCAGCATCTCTCTCTTTCTCTTTGTGCCTTTTATGTACTCACAGTGATCATAGTGATCATTCTAACAGATATTAAGACTTTAATTCATCTCATCCGTTATCTCTCTGTGAAGACAGGCTTAGTTAAGTGTCTAACAAACCGAGCCATAGTACTAAGTAGCACAAGAAAAGACCTAAATGATGAAATGAAACAGATAGAAGGAGAAGTGTTGGTATCAAATAACTATCCTATAAAATTCATTAGGAAGATCGAAAAAGATCAAAAGCAAATTAAAAATAATTGTGAAACTAGTAATGATAACATAAATAAGAGAGAATATAAGGCATCTACTGTTATACCATATAAGGAGGGGAGATCTGAGACCCTCCCTACGTAGGACTCTTAATAAAGCAGGAATTAGGATGGCATTCAAACATACAAACTCACTCAGGTAGGACAAGCTCTGTGGGTTAAAGGACCTGGTGGACCCAATTAAACAAAATAATATAATTTACAAAATACCCTGCAATGACTGTGAGGTCAACTATATAGGTCAGACTATT